CCTCCCAGCTCTGGGGGTCTGCAGGGCCAGTCACCAGGAACCAGAAGCATCTGGAGGGGCAGGCTCCCTGTCCATGTGGCTGTGTGAGATGCGCACAGAACAAAGGGGTTTCTGTCCCCACAAGGCTGGGCCGGGGGGCAGGTTTGTGCATCCAGTTAAACCAGAGAGAAGTAATGTGTGTGGTGCCGGCAAGTCAGCCCTCCACTCACACAGTAAGCATGTGCCCAGGTGGAGCATGAGCTGGGGGACGTGAATCTGCTCCTCTCCCGTTGGTCCTGGCTGCTGTGTTCCTCTCGCGGTATGATAATACATGAAATTTCCAAGGATAATTTTAACTATGTGCTTTTTTTTTTGCCTTACACACTCTAATTAGGATGTTTTCAGTTATAAATACTCAGAGCTATATAGCAACAGGTACTTATTGCTTATATAGCTGAAAAATCCAGCAGCATTCACACTTCAGACATAGTTTGATCCAGGGGTTCACAGTATCATTAGGACCTCAACTCTTTGTATCTTTAATTTTTTTTTGATAGAGGTGCTGAGGATTGAACCTAGGACCTCGCACGTGCTAACCACTCGGTCTACCACTGAGCTACACCCTCCTGCCTCCCCGGGTTTTCCTCTCGAGGCTTCTCCCAGTCATCCCTCTGTCGCTGCAGCGGCTCTTGATGCTCACCATTGCACGGTGGCTGCCAGCAGTTTCAGGCCCTGCATCTGCACACGATGGCATCCAGAGAAAAGGGACCACGTGACCCCCTAAGTCCCAAGTGGAAGTCCTGAGAGTCTCTCTGACTGGGGCGACTTACGTCCCTGCCTGCCCCGACGCGATCACTTCAGTCCAGGGGTAGCAGCGGCCTGGCCTGCGGCAAACGCTCAGTCCCTCCGACTGGGGACGGAGTCAGATTTCCTGGTCCCGGAACAGAAGTGAGGAGCTGATGGGAAGAGGGAAGCGGAAAACCCAGGGAAGCAACAGCACTGACTTTAAAGGAAGCTGGGTCACTGCATGCACCCTCTGTGCACAGAGAATACTCGATTTCTCAGCCACCTTTTCTCCAGACACTGAGTCTGGAGGCTTCTGTCACACCCGAGGCGAAGCCACTAGCTCTTGAAGCTGCTGCTGCTGTAGACTGTCAGGCAGAAGGGAAGGTCAGCCCCGGGGGACCCGCGGCTTCACGACCACCCTCCGCTAGTGCGGCAGGGCAGACGCGGGCGTCGCGGCCCTGAGGAATTCCGACACTAAAGCACTGGCCTCTGCAGGCAGCAGGAGTTAAGTGCTGGTTGGTGTGGGAAAGGCTGGGCTAATCAGTGAGAGTTTCCTGGAGCAGGTGGGAGTTTGTGCGCGCTCTTAAAAGGATGGTCTCTAGGATGGGGTTTGCACAGCACAGGGGATGTCCAGGGCAGTGTGCTGGGGTCGAGACAAGAAATGGCTCAAGTTCTATTCAGGGCTGTCTTTCATCTGAAGAGGACGGGGTTGCGACGTTCAGCACACAGACCCACAGCTGCCCACGGGTGCAGTTTACATGGAAGTGTGCGCGTGCTGGGGTGCATGCTACCCTCCATCCTGATGGGAGTGTGCCGGTTAAAAGGCTTGGAGGTCAAACTGCCTTGAGGGGTGGAACCAGGACTGAGTCCCCTGGGGCCTTGTTGGAGAGGGTGTGACGCAGGGGTCCAGGGGCCCTTCCCTTAGTCTGTGTCCTTCTGGGACCCCAGGAGCCAGCACGCAGAGAGGCCACATCCCGCCTTCCTCAGGCGGCCATCTCCGCGGTGCGCCTCCTCACTTGGGAAGTCCCTGCTTAGAAAGCGGCCATCAGGGAGGGGTCCTCCAGGGCTGAGGCTGAAGCCTGCCGCCGGTTCCCCGTCCACAGCAGCCCTGCTCCCCGCCTCCGTGGGAGGAAGGCTGGGAGCCCACAGCCGGTGAGTCACGGCACATAGCCCGCGGAAAGGGTTCAATGCTCGCCACAACCTTTGGGGTTTGCCATCTGGTGCCCACGCCAGAGGGTGTAGGGTGTCCAGCCCCTGAGAAGCGCAGGGGGCCTGCAGGCTGCGATGGCTATATAAGGCTGAGGCCACAGGAGGCGCCCAGGCTGCCAGACCCCACGAGCAACTTGGCAGGTCTCGGTGGTGACGCAAACACTTTCCCGCGCTCAAGCACCTACCCTTCACAGCAAGACTGAATCATGTCCTCAAAACCTCAAGCCCGACAGGCACACGCGATGCCGAGAGTCAAGAATGGCAGAGAGCGCTGCCTGGGCCCTCCCTTCATGGCAGAGAAACATTCGGGGCAACACAGAGCAAGTTGCCCCCGAGAGCCAGCGCCAGCTCCACCACAAACAGACTGGGGCTCAGTCAGCTCGCCTCCCCGGGCCTCAGTTTCTGCATCTGTATTATGGGAACGGTAAGCCCCGTCCCGCTACCTCGTGAAGTGCCAAGGACCCCGGAGGAATCAGGTTTGGGAGAATGCGGGTGGGACAGAGGGAGTGACCCTTAGTCCTTGAAAAGGAGCCACCTGGTCTTGAGGCAAACTGGGGGCCACGACAACTTGGTGTATTTACTGCAGGACAGATGCCATCTAGGAGGCCTCTGGTCTTTGTGTGCAGCTTACCTACGTAGACCCCCTCATGCTTCTCACTGCCTCCCCCCCGACCCTGGAGGTAGGCGGGACTGGAATTGTTAACCCCATTTCACAGTCGAGAAACCCGGGCCAGTGAGCTTCTCCAGGCCACACAGCAGGCTGGTGACAGAGTCAGGATGCAGACCTAGCCCCCGGAACCTCAGCCCAAAGGTCTTGCTCTGTGACCGGGGCCCCTCCAGGGCCTCAGAGCTCCACTCTGAAGAATGGCGGGTTGTGAGGGGTCTGCTTGGTCAGGCTGAGGGGGCGTTTTCTAGAAGACACGGGGGATTAGCTTTTCTAGAAGATGGCCAGGTTTTGTTCTTTGCTAATCTGAAACCTGCTATGCCTGATTGTCCGAGAGGCACCCTGCGAGGTTTTCCCGCAAGGCACTCTTTCCAGAAGGCACTCGCCGGCAGTGGTGTCCCAGAGGGGACGTCCCTCTGGAACACTTGGTTGCGTGCCAGGTTGACCCTGAAAACAGGAGCGGCCAAAAGGCAAGCTTGGAGCCCAAGCCTCGCTTCCTGACCTCCCCCGCCCTTTTTTTTTTGGCTAGAAGAATGGAGCGGCCTCGACCACACAATCACTCACAGAATTAAGTAGCCAAAAATCACGTTGTCTAGACAAACAGATTTTATGTGTCCAATTAATTCCTGCCAGTCAAAAATAAGCTTGCTTAAGAAGTGGATGTATTTAGAACCTGTCGTTATCCGGTCCTCAGGGGAGACAGCTCCGCGATTACTACACAGACTCTGATTTCAGCAGAGCCCTGCTAACTCCCGCTTTGGACCGTAGTTCTTTCCTGACAGCACAGAGGTGGGTGGGAGCCGGGCGGGGGGGGGGGGATACTTGACCGCAAGAAGTCACTGAAGTCCTCCAGGTCCGTCTTTCTCAACCGTACCAAGCCAGGAAGAGAGCAATTGCCTCTTCTTTGGGTCACGTCGCCAGGGGGTGGGAAGTTGCTCGGAGAGCGGGCTCCCAGTGTGTCATCTGTCCCTGTGCCCCTCGGGGTCTGGGAGACCTGCAGGGCTGTGTGAGCCGTGTGGTACCTCCTGCACAGCTGTCCCTTGGAGAGTCGTTCCTGAGTCACTGTTAGCGCCCAGGCCTGAGCAGGCGGTTGGTGGCAGAGAGCAGGACTGGCACCCAAGGTCTAGAGTTTCCAGATCTGCACGAGTGGGTGACACCGACGGAGTGGGGCAGGCACTGACAGGAGACAGCACCTGCCTTCAGGGTTTGGCTTCGCTGGGGATGAGGCATAGAGAGGGCTTTGGGGCGCTCAGGGAAGGAGCCCGGGGGCTGTCCAGGCTGCAGGGGGGTTCTTCCTGGCCTTGAGGGAGGTGGCAGTGCCGGGCTTGGCCAAGTCCGGAAGCAGTGGCCACTCATTCTCCAGAAATGCGTGTGCATGTAAGCAGAGTGCATTGATTTCCAGTGGGTACATAACAAGTCAGCACAAAGTGGACGGCTTATACAAAGACAGAAGTTTATTCTCTTACACTTCTGGAAGTCAGACGTCCAAAGCCGGGTGTTGGCAGGGCTGTGCTCCCTCTAAAGGCTCTGGGGGAGATCTTCCATGCCTCTGCCGGCTTCCGGCGGCCCCAGGCATTCTCTGCCTCGCGGCAGCTTCACTCCTAGCTCTGTCCCCATCTTCACGTGGCCTTCTCTTCTCTCTGGGTGTCTCCTGTAAGGACATGGTGTTGAATTTAGGACCCACCTGGATGATCCAGGATGACCTCATCTTGGGAGCCTTAAATACAACTGCAAAAACCCTTTATCTGAAGAAGATCACAAAGGCATAGGCTCCCCTGTGAGGGGACCCAGCTGGGTGGCTGCCCCGGCCACTCCTTAGCCCAGCTGGCCGCCTCTCCCACCCTGAGGAAAGACGTGGTGGCTCGGGGACAGCCATGAGCACTGTGAACGTGCCCCAGCCCCGGGTCACCAGCTGGAAGATTCTTACAAGGCGAGGAATGGGCCCTCCCACCCAGCATGGTAGTGACAGACGGCCAAGACTCAAAATCACCGTTCCTCCGCCTTAATGACCACCGTCACCGTCCCAAATTCACGCCTACCCACTGAGACCCAGGTCAAGCACACCTCCTCCGTGATGTCCGCCTGCCCTCTTCTCGCGGGGACGGCCTCCACCCCTCAGTTGCCAGGCCGTGAGGTCTTCATCCCTGTGTCTCCAGAGCCCGCCAAGGGCCCGGGTAGGCCACAGCACCCCGCTTCCAGGGAGACGAAGGTCAGAGCCTGGGCGTCTGCACAGGCTGCCCCTCCAGGGCTCCCTCCCGCCCTCCCCACCACATCCTCCCCTCAATACTGCCCTCCAGGCTCCGTCCTTGCCAGGAAGGGGGACCTCCCCCAGCATCTTCCCTCGTCTCCTTTTCCTTCCCAGGTTGGTCGTCGGGGCTCCGTTGGAAACCAGCGGCCACCAGAAGACGGGAGACGTGTACAAGTGTCCGGTGACCCAGGGGAACTGCACCAAGCTCAACCTGGGTAACTTGGGCCGCCGGCCCCTCCCCTAGAGGCGCCGCCATCCAGGGCAGGGCATCTCTGATCCATGCCCGCTGTCACACCAGCTCCTCCTGGCTTCCCTGTGAGGGGACCCAGCTGCTCCGCATTTTACAGATGAGCACGCTGAGGCCAGAGGGAGGCAGCAGCTCTCCCACAGTCACACAGCTGGTCAGGGGCCAGCCAGGGTTCATGCCCAGGTCTCCAGTGTGCCAGGCTGTCGCTCTTTCTGACTCATCCACGGCCCCTCAACAGAGTAGAGCAGGAATGTTTCCTACTTTTCCTTCTGACTTTGAGATAATAACAATGGCCAACATCCTTACATAGTTTTACCATGCGCCAGGCCCTGGTTTAGGCACATTTAGATATTTTGGCTCATTTCATCCCCACAACAACCACATGAGATTTAATTGTGAATGACCTCCTGTGGCGGTGAGGGGACCTGCTTGGGTCACCCAGCTAATGAGCAGCAAGACCAGGACCCCCACCCAGGCAGGCTATAGCCACCCTTTAACCGTCCTGCGGCCCTGCCTTTCTGACATGACGGCTCTTTCCTCACCGAGAGCTTTTGGGGCACCGGGGAGAGGCCATGAGCAAGCCCTTGTAAGTCTCGGTGCACCTGCACACGTGTGTGCACACAGCCCGCGTCCACTCAGGCACACACGCTCCTCTAAAGCACTGCCGCTTTGTCCTAAAGGTCAGACAGTGGCCAAGCCGTCGCCTTGCTGTCAGAGGGAGCAGAAGTCCCATTGGGCTGAGAAGCTGCGATTCCAGGCTTTGCCCTAGAGAATGGGTCTTCCCCCGGGCAGGACCCTCAGTCTCCCCCTCTTCTAGGAGGGGAGCCTCTGTCCTAGAGCAGTGCGGCGGGGCTCCCCGGGTAGGCCGACGGGGGAGCAGCCGGGTGGGGAGACACGGCAGAGCTTCAGGAGACAAGCAGCTGGATGGAAAGGGCACATCAAAGAGAAAACCTGAGAACCCAGATCCCCAGGCAGCCCACCATCCGAGTGCTTAGTGCTGGAGGCCCCGCCGGTACACCGGCGTCAGCGCCGCTGGAGGGAGGCTCAAACCCCAGCACAGCCGGGCCCAGACTTCAGTGAGAAACCGGTCTAGGGAGGGCAGGAGTCCGTCTGGGGCCTCGTGGGTCCCGGTCATCACCACCCTGAGAGCAGTCCCCCAAGCAGGCCAAGCTGGATGCTCCTTCCAGCTGCGCAGTTCCCTCGCTGGGTGTCCAGGAGAAGCCCACATTCTCTCTATGAGCCTCCGGTCACTCCTGTGTGACCCCAGGATCCATTCCAGGTCTGATAGGTCCCCTAGCCTTTATTGGGCACCTGGTACGTGCCAAGCACAATGCTAGCACCTGCAGATACAGCAGGGAACAAGGAGCCAAGGGCCCTGCTGGGAGGGCACAGTCAGCGAGTAGACACACTGGAAGGCAGGATCATCTCAGGTGGGCATAGATGCTGTGTGATAAACCAGGTGCTGTGATGAGAGAGGCTGGTGGGGAGGAGGGAGGGAGAGGGTTCTACGTTAGCACGGTGGTCAGGGAAGCCTGACACCTGAGCAGGTAACTTTTGAGCAAAGATTTGATGGTGAGACAGAGTCGGGTGGGACCAGAGTATTACAGGCAGAAGAGAAGCAAGTGCAAAGGTCTTGAGGTTGGGAAGAGCTGTGTGGCCGGGGCAGAGGGAGAGAGGATGGTGGTGGGAGGCATCCACACTGGGCTTGGGGACTGGGCCACCGAGAAAAGCTCCTGTCCCAGTGGGGACACAGACCCACGAACCCGTCGTTGAGTTTCCTTTGCCACTCCGGTTTCCAACGTGGACCCGCTTTCCCTCTGAAGAAGGGGGAGCCCCTGCTTTCAGTGACAGACATGAAGCCGTCAGAGCCTGAAAACTTTCCTGAACTGGGGCTTCAGCCGGGAGGCGAGTGGGCAGCAGAGTGAGCGGGGGCCGAGGAGAAGTGCTGGTCAGGAGGCTCCTCGTCTGACGAGGCTTCCTTTCTCTCCATACAGGTTCAGCCCCACAGTGGGGATGCAAGGGAGGGAAACCCAAGCCCCGAGTTCTCCTATGGCCTCTCCTGGCTCCGAGCCCCACCGAGCCAGGAGTGCTCTTTCCTCCCTCTCCAGGGAAGTGGGTGTCAGCCATTCACACCTCAGTGTTGAAGAGTCCCCCTCAGGGGCTTTCTTCCCAACAGCTGGATGGAGTTGGGGTTTTAATGAGGGGTTGGGGCTTCGGGGAGGGGATGTGATTCTGGAAGGCAGGTCCTAAGTGAGGAGGGGCTTGTGCCCCAAGAAAGGTGTCGGTCTCTCCTGGTCACAGAGGGGAGGTTAGTCGCTGCCCCAAATCCACGAACAGCAGGAGCAGGACTTGAGCCTGAGTCTTTCTTCCTCCAGCACAAGGGTCTTCCCCACCAACCGCCGGGCTGCCAGTCTCACTAAGGACTTCAGTCACTGGGACAAGAGATAAACAGAGGGGGCAGGGTGAGGCGAGGGACCCACCCCTTAAATAAATGAAGGGCAGAACTCTCCAAGCCGCGGAGGGAGGACGTTGCCCGGCTGGTGCTTGGAGCCTCCTCTCCAGGTGTCTCACTCCATCCCACGCCGCCATGGCCCTGCCGCCGGGCGGGAAACCTCGGATGTAATGTTGGACATTCCTGGGTTCAGGACCCCGCATTATCGTTTACCAGCGACTGACCTCACGGAAGGCACTAACCCTCGGTGCACCCTGGCTTTCTTGTCTGTACGATGGACGTGGTGACTCCTGGGCCTCCTGGGAGGGTGCATGTGGGCGGCACTCTGGGAATGAGACACCAGAGGAGCCCCGGGTGACTCCTGTTGCTTTCTCTCCGGTTTGCTTGGACAGACAAGACGGAAAGCAATCCCAGGCCCAGGGGGGCTGGATTTCAAAAGGAGCCTTAGTACAAACTGAAGGAAACCAGAGGGAAGAAATGAAACAGCAGACACGGCTGCCCCCGCCCCAGCCCACAGCATGGCCGGGCGTCTGATGCTCTGGCCTCTGTCCAGCCCAGGCCCCACACCCTGCCGGCCTGGGCCCCCTGAGGGCAGGCCAGTTCTTCACACCCCCTCCCCCAGGCAGAGGAGGTGCCTCGGTGCTGCTCACAGCAGAGGAGGAGTGCTCGCTCTGGGTGTAACAAAATGCCCGACACACACACACACACACACCCTGGGGAATTCAAGCTCACCCCCTCCCCTCAGTGACCGGACGGGATGATCCAGTAAAAGCTTCCCTGATACACCTGTTAATTATTCTAACCCGCCATGACCCTCCTCCTCCGCCCAGTTGGCTGATAACGTTGGTGATGTTCTTGGGCGAGACCCTGTGCTCTGGAAGGCTCTTGTGAAGTTGTCAGCATATGTCAGTTTATCAGGTGAGCAGAGAACCAGGCCCTGAGAGTCGGGTAGGGGACTGGTAAGTTTCAGTGGCAGGTTACCTTGAAGAAAAGTGCAGAGGAGACACTACATGGAGAAGCCACCCTCACTGGGGGGCCCTGGATGTGTGGGGTGAGGCACAGAGGAAGGGCTGGTGGCGAGAAAGGTCTGGACTAGGAGACGGAAGGCTCTTCCGCGTGCTTGCTGTGTGACTTCGGGCAGCTTGCTTGGCCTTTCTGAGACTCTCATTCCTCATCTCCGAGGGAGTTGAGAGGAAGTCATTAGACCATGTCTGGGCAAGGCCTTAGGAAACTGTGAAGGGCTGCACTGACATGCAGACAAGTGAAGCGTCCAGAGAGGCCAGGAGAGTCAGGGAGGACTCTGCCTGCTGCCAGCCCTGCTCGGGCTCCTCTGGTGCCAGGAGCAGCAGCAGACTGTGGGCGGAGGGCGGGCAGGAGGGGGCTGCAGGCTGAGCTTCTCCCTCCTACCCCAGGAAGGGTCACCCTGTCCAACGTGTCCGAGAGGAAGGACAACATGCGTCTCGGCCTGAGCCTGGCCACCAACCCCAAGGACAACAGCTTCCTGGTAAGAGCCACCCGCCCCCTCTCCGAGCCCTTCCCGCCCACGGGCCCTCTGCTTGGGGCTGCGAGGGGCATTGGATGGCGGAGTGAGTCTGCCCACCAGGCTGCCTGTCCGCACACACACACAACCTGAAAAGGAACAGGAATAAATACAGACATTCAGCAGTCCAGTGGGGCGGGGGCGGGGGCGGGAAGGCCTGTCCCTTCCTTTGGGGAGTCAGATTTCCAATGCAGAGGCCAGACCCCTGCTCCAGCTTTGATCCAGGAAACAGGACACGTCACACACTCTGAGAAGACTTTGTGGGGAGCCACGCACGAGTGAGCACAGGGGAGGGTCCGAGCGATGGGCCACCTGGGCCGCACAGGGTCAGATGGGAAGGCTTCCCAGAGGAGGTTTCCGTCTTGTTCTTAAAGAAGAGGCTGGTCTCAGCAAGGAAGAAAGAGGAGGGTATTTGGGCTGAGGAGGTAGAGGCATTCATTAATTTAAACTATTTTTTGAGCACCTGTAACACCCTGAGCCTGATGCCAGGCGCTGGGGACTCAGCAGTCGGCAGAGCTCCTGCCCTCCTGGAGCTCCTGTTCTGGGCGGGGGAGAGGCGACACATGATGCCGGGTCAGAGGGGCCGCGGCGGCTGTGCTGGGAGGCCTCTGCGCCCACCCAGGTGAGCGTGTCCAGGCTTCGCACACAGCGGGCGAGTGCGGGTGGCGTGGTGCACTGGTGCTGCCTGCTGCTCGCCACCAGGTCTGCGTGAACCACCACAGATGTGGGTGAGGCTGGGCCTGACAGCTCCTAGAAACAGCTGCCAGGAAGCTGTCAGAGGAAAAATGACCCCAGAGAGCCCAGTAAGGTGCATAACTCATTTTAAGATGGGAGGGCTAGTGTCACTCTCTGTTCTTGTCCATCCGTCCATCTGTGTTGACAGATGAGCCGTGTGGGGTGTGAGCACAGACACCAGAGCAGTGAGAGCACTGGGTGCTCGGAGACCCCAGGAGAGCACAGTGGCTCGGCCAGGGAGGGTCCTGCAGGACCTTGATGCGCAGCCAGACCACAGCCCTCATCTTCCCCAACCAAGGGCAACAGGGCCCCTGGCCCTGTCCACCCGTGCTTGTCAGGGGCTTTGCTCTGACTCTCTTTTCCTCCCGAGGCTCCTTGTCACATTCCTACTAACTTGATTTCACCTACTTCACAAGGTGGAATGACCGTTCAAGAGGGGTGGTGTGATACCATCCCTGGGGCCTCTCTGGGTAGTTTAAGACCTTAGTTTATGAGTAGAAGTTTTATTAATTCATTCTCTCATCCATTCACTCATTAGCACATCCCCCAACCAAATGTCTTTCCCTCTATTCATCCATCCATCCATTCATTGATCCACCCATCTGTCTGTGTATCAGACCAACCCACCTCCCCATCCATCCATCATTCACCACCCATCCACCCTTCCATCCATCCATCATTCACCACCCATCCACCCTTCCATCCATCCATCCATCATCCATCCATCCATCATCCACCATCCATCCATCATTCACCATCCACCCTTCCGTCCATCCAGCCAGCCATCCACCTATAGTTTATCCATCTGTCCATCATCCATCCCTCCATCTTCCTTCTATCCCTCCAGCCAGCATCCATCATCTACTCACCCATTATTCATTCTCCCCCACTTCCAAAAATAATTTTCAGAAGCTTCAACAAAGGACACAGATAACAAAACCTTTAAAATCTGAATTTAAAAAGAAAGCTAATTTGAAAAAAAAAAGAAAGAAAGTGAAATAATTATTCCCCCAAACCAAAGGAAATCACAGCCCAAAATGCAGTCCTGGACCTCCCGGCAGCAGGACAACCCCGGAGGGTTGACGCTGGGCTTTCACTTGTATGACCCTGACTTTGAGAGGGGCTCATCGCTCAGTCTTTAGGAGGGGCTGACAGCAATGTTTTTGGTCACAAATTCAGAGAAATACCAGAGACATTCTTTTTTCTTTCCTTAGTAAGAGCCACGGGCATGTTAGTCAGACCCAGTCCTGGACGTTTGCCCAGTAGTGACCTTCAGGTGACCTCTTCAGAGAGACCCCTGAAGGGGCCAGTCCCGTGGATGAAAGGCTTCCCCGGACCCTGAGGTGGGGGTGCTGGCAGGATGAAGGAGAGCCACAGCCCTGAGGAGGGGGTGGAGAAGGGGACCCTTGGAAATACCGCAGAGGAGGACTCGAAGGTTAGTTTTTCTCCATTTCACCTGAAACCAAGGGAACTGCTGCACACTACAGCAAGAGAGAGTTCTGTAGACTCAGAGAAGGCCCGCTAGGTCCTAGGGCCTCCGGCACGCAGACGGAGGATTCTGTCCTGCGTTGTGCAGGTTGGCGCTGGGCCGAAGGCTGTTGCGCCTGGGCCCTCTCTGGGGCCCCTCACTGACCAGGGTCTGTGCCGTGCTTCACAGGCCTGCAGCCCGCTCTGGTCTCACGAGTGTGGGAGTTCCTACTACACCACAGGGATGTGTTCACGAGTCAACTCCAACTTCAGGTTCTCCAAGACCGTGGCCCCAGCTCTCCAAAGTAAGTGGCTACAAATCTGCAGGCTTAGGCTGCGCCTTTTTGGGGGGGGAGCGGTTCTGAATCTCTGATTTATTAGACAGCATGGAAATAACAGGTTTAGGTTATTTTACAAAAAGAGCTGAAGCCTCAGGGGAGGCTCTGGGCTCTGATCACCACTACCCTGCGGCGACAGAGCAGCACTTGGACTCCGACGGCGCCCTGTGGGGTCCTGATCCTGGCCCACCCTCCCCCACAGAGTGAGGGTCCGGGCAAATGAACTAAGGTTATGAAGACCATCCTGCAGCCAGAGGGGCTCACTGAAAACCCACCTGAGTGAGTGAGAGGTTGCTGGGCCGCCGTGTACAGCAGGCACGCTGCGCACTGCACGATTCTGGGGACATCATTAGACTACAGTGTGAACGGTGCCCTCTGATACTATGCAGTGTGGTTGCTCTGTAGGTGGAAGGCCCAGGAGAATAGACCTATCCCTGCTAATGTTCCCATCTAATTGGTGTTCCTGGATATGAGGAAGCTCTGCCCAGCCTTCCCAGAGCCTCACGGAACGCAAAAACTCCCACTCACTCCCCACCTGCCAGGAAGATCCGGGGAAGTAATGCTCAGACCTTGCCTCCCACGAGCGCAGACTGCCTGGCTCCGTGCCTCCCTGTTTCCTCTGGGCTAAACGCCATCGTCCAAGCAGCTGCCATCCGCCTTACTGAGGGCGAGGGGATTAGCACCTCTAGCTAGAGGCAGCCCGCCTCCAAACAACAGGGCCCAGTCAGAGATGGGACGCGGGGCTGGGAGGGAGGACGCAGCATCAGTGCAGCAGGGGCTGGACGGGGCTCCTCTGGGGGCTGAGGAGGCCTCAATTCTATCCTCACAACATGTCTGGGGTTGGGGAGGAGGCCCGTGGCCAGGAGCTCACTCCCTAGGGCTGCTCTTTCCTCCGGGCCGAGGTGTGACCATCTCAGCCTCCCAGAACCTCCTGTGTGGAGGCTTCCTCACAGGCTGACCAGCAGCAGTGCCCCAGGAGCTCCGCAGGTCCAGATCCCAGGGCAGCCCCCACAACCCCTGCCACCGCCATGGAGGTTCTAATTCAGCAGGTCCAGGGTAAGCCCCAGGGTGTGTGTTTCAAAGGCATGTTCAGCCATGTTTAGGAGCCACAGACCAGGTTCTTCCCAAGGTGTCATAGAAAGAAAAATTTGAAATTGTAAGAAAGAAATGAGTAATAATAAATGCATTCTAATAATAAAACTGGCTTTAAAATCAAAGAAACCTGGTCCCTGCCACTAGATTGGAAACCCCTCCTAAACAAGGAGTTTCATCTTATCTCCTTGTGGCCGGCGGCACCACGCAGCACTCCAGCACGTGGCGGGCGCTCAGGACACAGGTGTTGGGCTGAAGGACACAGGAGAAGGACAAAGCTATCAGGTGCCTGCCGTGAGGCGGGAGGTGTAGGGCGATCACGTGCTGTGCACAGCAGGCGGAAGAGACCAGAGTACCCACACAGCCTCTCCTGAAGTGGGACCTCCTCTGCGACGCTCAGCATCTCAGTCACCCAGACGCTTGTGAAGTGCTCTGTCAGACGCGGGACCTGCAATGGGCGCCCGGGCTCTGAGCCACCTCCGTCCTCGCCTGGGAGCTCTGATGTCATGCTACACCCTCGTGATGTGGTTACTTCAGGAGTTACTGGAATGCTTAACTCACAAAGGCCCCCACTGCTCTGCTGTGAAGTAGATTGAAATCCTTTGTGAAAACTCTCCAGCAGAAATAAGCAGATGCCCGAGATTTCAGTGCGAAGCCGTATAGTAAATATCACATCTGTATTGTATCACATCTTATTTCAAAGTAACCCCAGCTGTTTCACAAACAGAAGTAAACTACTTAGATGTTAAAAGAAGTTTTCTACTTTTGTTATGGTGCCAATGTTGGATTCATTTTCTTTGTTGGTTTCTATTATTGTTTTAATTTGATATTAACATTACAAGAATGCAGAAAAACCTTCAGGCTTGGAGCACAAGAGTTTGACCTGGTGGTGTCATTGCCACGTTAACAAAGTGGTTTGTTTAAAAAAAAACAACAGAAAGGGGACCAGGTAGAGTCTTGAGCACCTGCTTGTGCTCAGACCTGGAAGCACCGTTGTGCTGATTTCTCGTGGCGATCCACCACGATCACTTCGCCTGTTTTACAGAAGAGAAAACCGATGCCAAGGTGTTAAGTAACTTGCCCAAGGTCAAAGCCAGGAGTCAGCAGCCTGATGCCTGATTCCACATCCCTAACCGTTCTACCGTGCCTCCCTCCTAAGAACTGAATCCCGTTCAGTCTGGTTGAACATGGTACCTTGCCAGCCTGCCCACTGCAGTAAAGTAGACAATAATGAGGTACCGATTTGGGCAGTGTTGGCTGCATCCCAAACAGGGACCAGCTGACCGTGGTCGGCTCCTGGTGGGGAGCAGGGGCAGTCAGGCTTCATCTACACTCTGCTCAGACAGCCAGCGCAGAGCTGGGGACACAGCCAGGAATCCCTGGGCTCCTTATTCACGTTGCCCAAATAAACGTTTAGCCCGAGGACAGCTCCCCATCCGTGCTTCCTTGGACAGTCATCCAGAGAATCAGAGACTTGCAGACACTGGCTCCTCGGGTGGCTATGACCATGTGCCTGCTTCCCAGGGTGCCAGACCTACATGGACATCGTCATCGTCCTGGACGGCTCCAACAGCATCTACCCCTGGGTGGAGGTCCAGCACTTCCTCATCAACATCCTGAAGAAGTTTTACATCGGCCCTGGGCAGATCCAGGTGAGCATGGCTGGGATGGTTTCCTCCTCCAAACAGGGCCCCTCAAGCCCATGGCAGATGCCGCCTGGGGATTTGGGGGAGCATCTTTGCAGGCACCAGAGAAGTGTAGGCGACAGGGCCAGCAGGAGGGTCCTGCGGGCACGTCAAGGGACAGCATGGGGGAGACCTCCTGCATGGGCAGACACCGTCTTCTGGGACAGACACCACCTAGTAACAAAAACTTGGATCAGCCAGAGAGTGAGAAGCAAGGCAGGAAAGGCTGAGTAGGCACTGAAACCCTGCTGGGGGAGGCACCGGGAGCATCAGACACGTTGATCTCAGAGAAGAGACAGGGAGGTCAGCGCTGCCGGCGTGTCCTGAAACGCTGCCGAGCTAATGAGGGGAGAGACTTGTCCTGTGTTGTCTCGGCAGGCCCGGCAAGGACCTGAGAAGGGAGGTGACAGAGTGGCGGAGTTCAAGTCAACCTAAGAAATCACTTCGTAACAATTAGAGCTGTTAGAAAGGGAGGGGGCTTTCTCCTGGAGTAATGAGACCCCCCCCGAGAGATCACCTGGTGGGGAGGGTGCAGGTCCAGCCGTGGAAATGCACTTGTGCAGAGTAAACTCTGTGGGCCCATCCAGCAGTGACAGTTTGTCATTCTAGTCCTGCTCCAGGTCTTCCAGGTTTTTTGTTTAGTTTTCAGGCTATTAATATTGTCGGTGGTTTATCTACCTCGGGGATAAAAGAGCCTCTTCTCCAAATTGGAAGGAACCGTAGTTCCAGAGTCTGGGGAACAGTGCGGTGGCCCTCCACCGGTGCTGCCCCCGAGACTGCAGGCTTCAACTCCGTGCTCAGCTTTTGTCTTTTTAAGTGAGAAGCTTCATCTGCTGGGCCTTTCTTTGCGTCACGGCCTCCTCTCTCAATGTACACCTTCCACTTGTCTCATGATGTCTTCCGTTCATTCTCAGAGCTCTGCAGAGCCTGCTTCCTTTCTGCTTAGCTCCTCTCCCTTGGGAAGGTCCCCATTACTCCTCTCTCCTGAACAGTCACAGACGGAGAGATGACTCTGGGGAGCTCGCCACCGAAGGGCCAGCTTTCAGGCGTCACGACGTCCCACCGCCCTCCCCTCTAACTCGCAGGTTGGAGTTGTTCAGTACGGAGAAGACGTGGTACATGAATTTCACCTCAACGACTACAGGTCCGTAAAGGATGTGGTGGAAGCTGCCAGCCACATTGAGCAGAGAGGAGGAACAGAGACCCGCACAGCATTTGGCATTGAATTTGCTCGGTAAAAAAATAATAATTTTTCTAAATCTCAGATAACGTTCTAAATTATCTATTGCTGTGTAACGAATCTGCACAAAATGTAGCACCTTGAGAGACAGTAACTTATTAATCCCTCAAAGTTCTGGGCATTCGCTGGGCTCAGCTGATCAGTTCTCCCTTGGGTTCTCTCATGAGGCTGATGTTCGGTATCAGCTGGGGCTGTTGTCATCTGTAGGTTGGACTGGGCTGGACATCTAAACGGCACAGCCCGTGGCTGGTGGGGGGTGCTGGCGGCTGGCTGGAAGCTCAGCTGAGGCTGGGGATCTGAGCACCCATGCGTGGCCAGGTGGCATGGCTTTCTCCCTGTGTGGCACCCAGGCTTTGAGAGGAAGCACCCCCAGAATGAGTTTCCCAGCAGACCCATGCTCCGTGCAGGAGTCCCACATGTAACTTCCACACAGTCTGTTGATTGAGTGAGTCACTAAGGCCAGCCCAGGTTCAAGGGGAAGAGAACTTGATCCCCTCCCCTGACGGAGGGGTGGCACGGTCAGATTGCAGGAGAGCATTTGGGGGATCAGGGGTATTTTTGCAGCCAACTTTGGGAAGTGTGTGCTGCCACAGAGACCCGATAAAAAGTGTGTGAGTTCTCTGAGGGCAGAATCTGCCAGGGGGGGCTTGTCATCGCTGGAATGTGAAGAGCATGGTTGAATCTAGCATCTGAGATTATAGAGCAATGAGGCCAGTTCCTGAAACATCACACCAGGACTCACTGGGATGAGGGACGCTGTCTCAGCAGCCATGGAGGCCGCTACGTGCTTATCCCCAGGATGCTTCATCTGCTCAGAACGCTGTACTTCGCCCCCCAGATTCAGGAAGCAATCTTACAGTCAGTTCCCCAAGATCTCTCCAGCTGTGGCCTAACTTCTAAGATGACTATGTCCACGGCGTTTAGATTTTGAACGTATAAATTTTGCACCCATGAATAGGTGCTCTGCTCATGTTCGTGAGACCGCACAAATGTTCCCCGAGACCACAGTCCCGTCACTTTATAATATGGTTGTAAACCCACCTCACACAGGGTCAGTGAGCGTGTTTAACAGAATTCCACAATGTGAGAACTATTTAGCAGTAACATGATTTCACGCGGTGAAAAGAGTAAGTCTTTCTCAACTACACAACCTGTATGGTTAAGTTACTGCTCCACCAGCATATTTCTGTTCACTGATAAAACTTGCTCAAGCTTTTTTCCTAAATGAGCTTCCCTCTGTGTAAGGATGGCTCTTATGCTCACAAAGGTAGACCTTTTTGCTGTTTTGTCGACATGGGTGTTCGCCCCTGAGACCCCGAGCAGGCCCTTGTGAGGTGACTGGCGGAACACAGGGAGGCCCCGCGCACTGACCCGCACAGAGAGGGAGCCCTCTGTTTCCGGCTCATTTCCAGCCCATCTCCCCCGGGTCAGTGGTGACTGTGTGACCCACCCAGGAGTTTGAACCGCCGTGTCTTGTGAGCACTGCTGCGGCGTACAGTCTGCACCTCAAGTCAACTCTGAAATCTGAGCTTCCCTGCCTGCCAAGTGTGGGTCCCAAATTACAGCCAGTGCCTTTTAAGGTGGAGGATTTTCTCTCCTCACTCAGCTGTTCTTCGTGCCTTTTGCCCGTGCACCTACCAGACTACGAAGGTCCAGGCCATGGATCTGAGGGGTTATTAGGATGGCCGAGAGTGGGAGGGCTGCCAAGATGGGGCATTTGACTTGTCCTGGGAAGACCCCAGGATTTCAGCAGGGAGAGGTGGCAAGAAGACATTCCACAGAAGACGTTCTGCCCCGATAAGGGCAGAGGAGATGGAGAGTCAAGGAGCATTTGTGCTCAGAGCCCTGCTCTGAGCATGGTGTGAGGTTCATGGTGGGGGAAGTGATCCCGCACCTGGGGGCACCAGACTGCGAGCGACCGTGTTGTGGCTAAAGCAACCATGGGTGGGCACTAAAGGCCTGAGGATGAGGACTTGCCATCAGATGTGCAGGTGAAGGTGGACGTGGCGGACTTTGGGGGAAGGGAAGGGGACAGCGCTGTGACTTCACCTTTGTTCACGCCGCACTTTTACTGAGCGCGCACCATGTGCCTCACACTGTTTTCGGCACTGGGTGTAGATCAGTAAACAAAACAGATAAATGTCCAGCCCTCATGAAGCTGACATTCTAGAGGGTGAGGCAGAGGCAGACAATAAAGCAAAAAAAGAAAGAAAGAAATAGTACAGTACACTGGAGGAAGACAAAGGCTCGGGGGGGCGGGGGGCTGGAGCCTGGCAAAGGCAGCCAGGCAGGTTGGAGAGGACAGACGTTTAATCGGCACTAACAGCATCGTCGGGGAAGGCTTCACCAAGGGATGACGTTTGAGTGGAGACTCGAAGGAGGTGAGAAAGTTGGCCAGGCAGGCGTCTGGCTGGAAGGTTCCAGTAGAGGGGGCAGCTCGGACAAAGGCCCTGAGACAGGAGCGTGCCTGGTGGTCCCAGGATCAATGGAGAGTCCAGCAGGAGGAGGGGTTCAGAGGGATAATGGGCCAGGTCAGGGGGCCTGGGAGAACTGGGGCCCAGGGCAGGTTTAGAGCAGAAGGAGACGTGAAGTGACCTGCTCTTTCCACGGGGCCACACTGGCTTCCCAGTTCATGAAACCTGTTGCGAGTATAAAGCTCACACTGCTCTCCAGTAATTTATAGTCTGATTTACAAGGCAACAAATCTAAGTCTTTTACACAATGCAAATTCACAGTTTAAAACCTGATGACTCATGCCAGTATCTGCACTGTTACAGATCCACACAGACATGCACGCTATTCCACTGTATGGAAATATGATGCTGAAATGTCCTTTGGCTCCATGTGTAATAAATCCTATTTTCCCCTGCCGTATTTTGTTCTCATGGAGTTTTGCTCCTGGACCTGACCCTCCAGTGAGGTCATGTGAGCACCAAGATTCTCCTTTGAGGGACTAGCAGTGCCCCCTCCCCTGGGTCGGGCTTCAGCCCAAAATATTCTCACATGTGCCTCTGCCCTGCTTCCGTTCATACCTCAGACTAAAATTAGAGCGTTTCTTAAGCCAGCCTATCAAGAGTATCATAAAACTGCCAAGAGAACGAACAGCAAATGGTCTGTCTCTCTTCACTGGTAGCTTGAAGATGCTCTGAACTAATTTATTCCAAGTTCTGTGAATTCCTCCACATCTAAGTCACACACGTCAGCTCATCAGCTTGCTGTAACAAAAGGTACCTCAGGTAACAAAAGCCTGGGGCCTGGAGATGAGATTTCACCTGGCACCGCAGCGCTTAAATCTGTGGGTCAGACCCAGGAGGAATCACTGCAGAGTCTAAGGGTAACATGTATTTTCAAGTCTCTTTTGGAAAATTCTACCTGCTGGGCCAGACTCTTGGCTAGACCACACCACTGTCCTTCTAAGGAGAGTTGGCCACACAGGCACCCAGAGCTGGTGATGGTTCAGGAGCCAGGCGTTCCTGCTTCATAGATGGGTTGCCAGCTGCAAGAGTCTCTCCCCTGGCTGGACTGCCCAACAGGCAGGCCATACATCTGCTCCGGGCACTGAAAACGATAAAAAGTGAGAAAGAGGAATATTTGTCACAGAGTTTGATATTTAATAGTTCCCAAAATAGGATCAGAGCTGTTCTTGGGGGGAAAATCAGAGCCTTGTCGAGTTTCGGCATGCACACCCCGGGGTCAGTGTTGTCTGGTTGCTGAATCGCTCTGGCCCAGCACCTCTGCCGTACTTAGGCAAGTGGTTCTCGGTTCTGAGGCTAGTGAGAACGTTTGGGAAATGCTGGTTTCCAGGCCACATGCCGGAGATTCTGATTTCTTAAGTCCAACGGGGCCTGGACCTCTGGACCTCATTTTTTTAACTCCCCAGGTGATTCTAATGTGCGGCTGGCTTTCTGAACCATGAAATTAAGTCCTCTAAGGGTCTCCACCTGACCCTGAACCCCCCTCCCAGGCCCACTCCATCCCCTCTGCTTGCACAAAACAGTGTGGTCAGGAGCCTAGAGGGGCTTTTGCAAGTTGCTTTTTAAAGACAAGCTGATTTAAGACCCATCTGAGCAGCGGGCGAACGAGTGGCCTCAGGGTCTGGATCCAGCTTCTGCTTCGGTTTGAGGTCCAGCATCTCCTGGGTTGCCCAGGGCTCAGCCGGGCTGCCCCACTCCCACCTCCTCTTTGTGACCCTCCCCTGCGTCTGGGTTCCAGCTCGGAGGCTTTCCAGAAGGGCGGCAGGAAAGGGGCCAAGAAGGTGATGATTGTCATCACAGACGGGGAGTCCCACGACAGCCCGGACCTGGAGAGGGTGATCCAGCAGAGCGAGAGGGACAACGTGACCAGATATGCCGTGGCCGTGAGTCCCGTCCTGCCCCAGCCCACCTTCTGGAAGCTTGGCTGTCCCCCAGGGGGACTCCGGGCAGACGTTTACTGGGCAGTGAACTAGCCATCCAGGCCCAGGGGGCCTCCCCTTGTGCATCCTCTTCCTTCTGCACTGTCCATTCCTGTCCACAACAGTTGCAGGTTTGTGCTGTTTTTTCCCTCCATTGCCAAGGAGGTGCTGAAGCCTCAGAAAACTGGGAAACACCCGCAAGCCGCCCAACACTTCATGCCCTGCCTTAGAACAGGGGCTCCGGCCCGTCCTGCAGCCAGGGTCTGGGGCCGTGGGTGTGTGGGGAGGTCCGTGCCATGTCCTGGTGTGTGGCCCCGCCCCTGTTCCCTGGCAGGTCCTGGGCTACTACAACCGCAGGGGGATCAACCCGGAAGCTTTCCTCAACGAGATCAAATACATCGCCAGTGACCCGGATGACAAGCACTTCTTCAACGTGACTGACGAGGCGGCCCTGAAGGACATCGTCGATGCCCTAGGGGACCGGATCTTCAGCTTGGAGGGTGAGCGCGGCTGACTGAGAGGGGTCCCCGTGCCTGGGCTCAGCAGGTGAAGCCCAGCCCCGCAGAGCAGGTGGTTCGGCAGGAGCGCCCCCTTCGTGAGCAGCGCCAGCACTTGTGGTCCCTGGGCTGGACGTGAGGCTGTGCTCTTTCCAAACAGCCCAGGAAGCTGGATCGTTGACAGTGGAGGAAACTGCAGCTTGAAGGGGCTAAGGGACTTGCCAGACCTCCCGCAGCCTGGGAAGGAGTTGGGGTTTGAACGAGGGTTGCCAGATTTAGCAGATACAAGATACAGTATTTGTGGCAGGCGTGCCCTAAAAACCCACTTGTTGTTTGTCTGAAGCTCACGTTTAACAGGGCGTCCGGGTCTTATCTGGCAACCCTAGCCGAGCCGCTGAGCCCACCCCCCAACCCCGGAGCCGCTCGCTCCCAGAGCCCCGCGGCCTCCCGCTCCCGCTCCGGAAAGCACTCTGTGCAGGGTTCCCTCAGGTTGTCTCTCCTTACGACCCCGAGCCCAGCTCTGGTTGGTAGGAGTCTTGTTTGCACCGCGTGCTGCTGCAGAGGGGCCCTGCCGTGCTGGGCTCCGCCACGTGGGGCGGTGGTCAAGGAGAGCACGGGCAGCATCCCAGAGTCCAGCAGGCTGCTCTGCGCAGGGGGTGACGGGCTGCAGACACAGGAGGAGAGAAGGACAGCCCTCTTGAACCGTGGCAGAGGAGGGGAAGGGGAACCTGGCGCTGATACTCTCGGGGGAGTTTAACACCCAAAACACTTGTGCTCTAAGCGGCCGCCTCGCTTGGCAAGAACCTTGCTCCAGGCACACGTCAGGGAGCCCTATGTTGGGAGGTGCCCTCCGCACACGTCTAACCCCAGCCCTAACCCCAACCCTCACGCAGAGCTGTGGTGTGACACGGCTCCCTCCGCAGGGTGGAGTAGATGTTTGGGAACTGTCCGGAGGCGTCTGGAACCAAATCTGGTGAATAGTAGGAACAAACAAAGTGGGAAATTCCATTTCTTGCCAACAACGTGGACTGTTTCTTTCCGGGCACTTTTCCGGGTGTTTCCCTGTTTTGACAGGCTTGTAGTATTATGCTGCCCTGTAATGCAAGTTGTCTCAAGCCTTTCTCAGCAGGGAGTGGACTGCTGATAATAAAGCCAGGCGGCCACCTGAAGGTGCCAGCAGCTGGGGCAGACGAGTTGGGCCCAGACCCAGGGCCCCTCTCGCCTCCCTCAAGGCGCTTCTGGGCCACAGGCACTGGGGATCGAGCTGCAGGCGTGTCTGGCGCTAAGAAATCAGGTGCGGAGCTGACGTCTTTCTGTTCGTCTGTTTCAGGCACCAACAAGAACGAAACCTCCTTCGGGCTGGAGATGTCACAGACAGGCTTCTCCTCTCACGTGGTAGAGGTAAGCACGCGTTAGAGCCCCTCCACACGCCCCCAACTCCAGGTGGTCGCCCACCATTCCTGAGCTGTCTCATCGCCCTTTCTCTCTTTCCTGGGGTCTCTGCCTCTCATCTTCTGTGGCCGGAAGACGGAAGTCAAGGTCTTCAGCTTACAGTGAGCTGTCTCAGGCCCTCCCGTGCAAGGTGCTCATATGACGGTCACTCCTCCATTCAGTGCACAGAGCCTCGTGCAAAACTAGGCCAATGTGGCCAAACCCCTTGCACGTGCTTGTGCCTTCCCGGGTGGCCTGCGTGTGCAGGGTGCAGCTCGGGGGTGTGCAGATGTGCCACATGCGATCTGGCGGGCGGTCCATGTGCAGACGCGGCATCCCGTGCAGAGGTCCCGGGCAGACACGTGGTGTCCCAGATAGTACGTGGTGTCCGGGCTCCACGTGGAAGGCCTGGAGCCTCAGGCCCTCACTTGCCCTTCGCGCGTCACCTGGTTCTGAGTCTCAAGATGGGGCTCGAAGCCTCAGCGGGATTGCCAGACAGGCAGAGGGGTCCACGCCTGTGAGAACATGGTATCAGCTCTAAGGGAGCGTCCCTACCTGGGAGCCCCTCGCGGGGAAGGCCTGCACTGCCGGTATCAGCCGTGCCCCGCGGGCTGGCTCCGGACACACGGGTGCCCTAGGGGTGTGTGCGCTCTGCCCGGGCTGTCCCCATGCAAGTGGGTTTATCCTCCTGATTTGCCAGAAAAGGCCCGTTGGTCCAGCGCACTTGTGTATCACGCTTGTCACCCCACAGAATTCTCCCAGCTCCTCTGAGGTGATGGGGCTGGAGCCCCTGTTCCAGGTTCCCAGATAAAGAAACTGCATCCCAGGAGGGCTGAGTGACCCACTGAAGTGATGCACATGAGATATTAGCCTCACGCTGCTCCCTCCAAACTGAGCAGCTGCCCCGTGAGGGTGACAGAATCTAAGGGGGGGCTGAGTCAGAGATCCCTGATCGGAGGGGAGGGGGCACGTGCACAGCACACCGCAGCAGATGGGCGGGAACGCGACTCACGCTCAGCGTCTCCCGAGCTGCATCTGGACGCTCGGGATCGCCTGGATACAGTGGGATAGAAATACGAGTGCACTGTGTTGGGAGCAGTCCTGTGAGATGTGCAGAGCACGTGCAGTCCTTCCAGGAAACTTCTGTGCCTCGTTCATGCTCAGAAACAACCTTGCAAAGTCAGCAGGTGACAAGAGTTGTCCGGTTTTAGGTGGTCACACCAGCAAGTTTTTTCAGTGCCTGTTCTGTGCTCAGCCCTGTGCTGGGTCCCAGGAGGTGCAGAGGCGAGCGCCCTGCCCTCAAGGAGCTCCAAGTCTGAGGGTAAGGGGCCAGGTGCCAAGAGGGACGAAAGCTTTCCTTCACACAGGTCAGGCGTCCAGCCCTGGACTCATCCCTGTCTCCTGACTCTGGGTCAGGGCTGATTAGAAAATGCAACAGGAAATTCAATTTCATGAAATCGTACAAACATTTGTCAAATGTGACTAAGGCATTAAAAGGAAGCGGAAATTATTCTTGCCAAACAGGAGCCAACGTGCAGGCGATGCCCAACAGCAGTCCTCAGCTTAGAGAGGAGATGACAGAAACTGCAGGCTTCTCCTGGTACAGGTGTGCGGCTTCAGGAGGCCCCTACCCACAGCGCCCCTGTGGAGACCGCCCCCACCCCTGCCCAGTGGGAGCCGCCTGCGCCCATCTAATGCTAATCAAGGCAGCCAGTGATCATGGGCTGGGGGAGGTGCACCTGGGCAGCCCCTGAGGGCGAGGACTTCAGCAGCCACGAGGGCAGCAAGCAGGAGCAGACAGGGAGTTGTGCACCCAGGACCTGGGAAGTCCGAGCACACGCAGGGCAGCCCTGATGTCAGGGGCAGTGAGGGGGAGAGGATGTCTCTTGTCTCCTTCATCCATTCTGCAGTCATTTTTCCAGCATCCCCCTGTCTGCCCAGCTCTGTACAGGGCACTTGGGATGTGTAAAGAGATGAAGGGAACATTTCAGCTGACAGCTGCTCACTGTCTGGTTAGGGAGAAAGATTTAAACTGTACATTCAGTCTTCTGCTTCTAATACTGTGATCTGTGTGTCCTCAGGAATCGGGGAGCCTAAAGAGAAGGGCAACTAAGACAAGCTTCAGGGATTTGGGGAAGTTTAGCTGAGTCCTGGTGATGGCCCCAGCAGCTGAGTGTGTCAAATAAGATGAGTCCCTGCAGGATCCATGGGTTCCCCGGCTGTAGGGGGAGACCAGCAGCTCAGAGCCCAGCTGGCTGTTTAGGTCAAGGTCATACGCTGCTCCCTGCAGCTTCCTCCCCTAATCCGAGAGACCGAGGGTGCTTCTCCCCATCCTGGAGATACAGACCCCAGTTCTTCTGTCACCCTGTGTCTTGTTTCCAAGTGACAAGCATCTGGAAGTTTTTATCTGATAAGACTTTGAAGGAGACAATGATTATATTTAAATCTGAGACTCTTTAATACTTTTAAACAAATTTTAAGTTAATAAAACCCTTCCAAATCCAAAGGAATGGTGCAATGGTGGTGGGCTATCTGGCCCTGTGACAGGCCGCTGGGTTGCCATCTTAGAGCACAGAGGCTTTTTGGTGCCAGGCTGCTGATACCGTCGTAACTGGCCACAGCCATCTCGAGTCCCTGGGCGTGCAGCCCTGCAGCTCTCCAGGTCTGTAAGACCTCTCTGGGGATTGAGGGCAGGAGGCTCCGGCCTTTCAACTTTGCCCAGAACGGATCTTGAGCCGGAGTCAGTCCATCTCCTGGGTGAGCCCCTGGACGCCGTCTCCTCTGGAAATGCTCCACAGACAGCTTCCGACAGCTGCTTCCTGCACGTGTGCTGGAAGAGCCTTCATCTGCCCTGGGCCCGTTGAGTGATGTCAGAAGGAAAGACCCCTAGTGCCACGGGAAGGACCCCGCAGGATGTTCCCAAGTGGCAGAGGAAAGACCAGGCCTGATCGCCTGGTCTGCTGCCATCTTACCTAGCGAGGGAGCCAGCCTTGCAGTTAGGAAGAGGAAAGAGGGGACCAAGAGGACAGGGGGACCAGAACCCAGGTTAGGAGAGGAGACCCCCGAGACATGCCTTGGCCCCTGGAAAAGCCAACGCCTCAGGCCACAAGCATTACATCCCAGGCTGATGGCCGAAGGGCAGAGCTGGGAAAACCCAGGGATCTGGAGCCCCAGGAAATTCCAGTTTTGATTTGCAAAAAGGGGAAAGAGAATAATCTGGAAATTACCATCAGGAAGACTAGCTGTGGATCCTTGGCCAAATTTTAGAATGGACTTGTAAGCCAGTGGCTCCATAAGCATTTTGAAATGAATGCAAAGACCGTTAAGAGCTGGAGTGGCTTCTATTAGTGCTGGCTGCCTGCTGAGGTGGTGAGCTCCCTGTCAAGCTGAGTAACCAAGATAAAGCTGCATGCATTTGCCAGAAAGCTTGCAGAAGGGATCCATCCCTCTAGGAGTCTATAACCCCGTGGGCCCTGGGGGAAGGTGTAGAGGAAGGAAGAAGACCATTGAAGCTGATGCCAGTGGTGATGGACGGAGCCGCAGAGGAGCCCCACCCATGATGGGCCCTCCTACAGCACACTCCCTAAATCTCCCCAACACCAGACGTTTACAGAAGGAAGCAGTTTTATTAGGCTGATCTCGTCTACACAAAAGGCATGGCCACTCACCCAGGACGGAAATAGGTCGTTTTTCCTTTAAATCACATACCGTGGTCCGGCAGGACCAGCTCTCAGCTACATTTGAAACAGGCCGAGGTGGAGGAGGGGAGAGCCTCTTGGCTCCCAGACCAACAGCCCCAGCCACCCCTGCCTCTTCAGCCTGTGCCCTTTGCCCCAGCCCTCCTGGGGTTGTAGACTGGATAGCTCAGGTTATTGGCTATTCTATAAGGTTCTTGGCTGTTGAAGATTTACAGTTTTCATCTTTCCTGAGAGTTTTGCATTTGAATTAAGTCTTACGTCTTTCCTAAGAGTTTGTGTCCGTGATTCAATCAAAACAAAAAGGCGCTCGTTCATAGTGGTACAAGGAGGGGTGATACCAAAAATCTGCAAACCCTGGCTGAGCCCCCTTTGCCCTGAGCGGTGGACTCCTGCCCCTGCCAGCTCTGGGGCGGGCGGTCAGGGCTGTCAGGGGGCCCGCCCCAGGAGGCCAGGCCAGGCCAGCACAGCCATGGTCTCCGCCACACTGTCCTGGGCTGTTTGCATGTGGACTTCTGGGGGCAGGACTCGTTTCTGGTTCATCGAGGTCACCGTAAGCCGAGCCCCAGGTCCTCAGGCTGTGCCTGGAGCCCAGTGCCCGACTCCTGGGCCTTGTTCACGGACCACTGAACAGAAGGGACCAGTCCTCTGATGTGGCATGAGCAGTGGAGTACAGCACGCCCTTAGCCCCCGTGCGCCCCCTGCACCACCCCGCCCGCCAGCTTCCAGCACCGCAGATGGGGAGGGACCCCTTTCCCCAGAAAGGCTGCGGGCTTGCTTCTGGGTCTTTCCGGGCCAGCCCCGTCTAATCTCCCAGACACTCCTTCCTCAGGCTCCACTCTAGACTTAATGAAAACACATCTTCTACCGAGAGCACCTAAGCAGCTAGTGAAAGATAATCCACCCTCTTAACAACGCATTCGCCTCAGAAGGGCTCCTGGAACAGGCTCCCGCCCCTGCTGTGGTCCCTCTGGTGATGGACGTGCAGGCAAAGGAGCCATGGGGGCATCGGGGGAGGAGGCCAGCGCTCGGTGCCCTCTAGGTGGTCTCCCTGTTCACGGGGCCAGCGGCGGCCACCTCCACCTGCCCCACAGCCCTGCCTCACCAGTGCCAAGAACTGCTGGCACCTGGGGTTCTCGTTCCATTACTGCCAGGCAAGAGGAAGCACTGCCTGGCTGTGTGGCCTCAGACGAATCATTTAACCTCTCTGAAACTCGGCCTTTGAGCAGATGTCTGAACAAAATACGTGTGGAATTGAGTCTTGCGCCTTGGAACTGGAACTTTGCACTTTGAGACTTACTTCCTAATCGATCAAGTAAGGTTTTCTTCAAATCCTTCCCTAACTCCACTGCAAACTGACCCACCCCCTCAGCCGGTCACTCCCTCCTGTGGGCCCTCGGAGCAGACCGTCCTGGCCTCCGTTGGACCATTCCTCAGGCTGCCTGCCCTGCGACTCACCGGTAGGCCCAGCTTGACTGTGAGGTCTGACTCTTTGACTCCTCCTCCCCAGATGTGCCTTATGCAGGAATTTATGAATGAGAAGAGCTACTATGTCCTTAGTGCTTACAGGCTGCCAAGCGCCCTGTCAGGGATTCCAAGTGCTAATTCTCACGACAAAGCTATTGGCAGCTGAGGCCCCTTCAGCAGAAAGAGAGAGAGGCACTTCCCCAAGGTCACACAGCCAGAAGCTTTGGAATTGGAACTAGAACTCAGGAATGTCTGACCCCGCGTTCCTGCTCTAACCCCCAGGCCGGGGATTCTCAGCGTGGCCCTGTTGACCATCTGGGCTGGCTCCACCTTTGCTGCTGGGTAATGCAAGTGTTCAGCATCCGCCCTGCCTCCACCCACCAGAGGGCACAGCTGCCCCACCCCTGCCCCAGCTGTGACAACAGAAACTTTCCTGGGCATTGCTGAATATTGCTGGAGGTCTAAAGCTCCCAATCTGGGAACCAGTGCCCGAGACTACGCTGCTTCCAGTGGTGGGGATGTGGCCAGACCCTGGCTGGGGACAAGGACTGGCTGGAGCTCCGAGTCTGGGGAGATATGGTCGCAATCCAGGAAGCATTCCCTCGACTGGCAAGGCTGCAGGGTGGGTCACAGGGCAGCTGAGAGCTGAGCTGGCAGGGTCCGATGGTGGGCGCCACACTCAGGTGAGTGCAGGTGCAGGTGGTTCTCCGGGAGGCCATGGACTTGGCCTTAGGCCTTTGGAGGCCCACCAAGCCTGCGTGCTCACTTCGGCACATAGCACCAGGAGAGTCAGCCAAGGGGCTGCCTTGGTGCCAATGGTGCATCTGTGCAAGGCCACTAGGCACACCCTGGTCATATCTGGTGGGAGCCCGGGTGGCCTCGTAGGAGAGGAGGCCATGAGTCAGGGAGCTGGTGCCAGGCCTGCATTTGGGCACCCGGCTCTTCCCCAGAATGCCCTGTTTGTTTTCCTGCTGGGCTTGCAAGCCTGGCTGCTTCTGTCAAAGCTTTGGCCCTTGTTTTGGCCCCACCCTTCCAGATTTTTTCCAAACTCAAAATGTCTGGGCTCCCCCAGCTGGGAAAACCTTGTGACATACTGAGGTTTGCCTTGGTGGCCTCGGCTTGCCCTCACAGCCAGCCCACTCCACACAGGGCACTCTGTCCTAGGTGGAACTCTCCCCAGCCCCCAGCAGACCCCACTCAGGAAAGGGCCTCTCCCTGGGAGCTCAAGCCTGCAGCCGCTGCGGGGGTTAGATGGCCCAAGGTGAGCCCAGTGCTGCCAAACCCAGAAACCCCGGTGGGATTCCCAAGCCCCACATGGAGTGAGTCAGGTCTCCCTCAGCTGAACCCCAGGCCTCCGGGGTGACCCAGCCCTTCTCAGTACATTGCTAAGCTCTGGTCATCTGCAGAGCCAGACGTTTATCTTCAAAGGCCTCTCCATGAAGCAAAGAAGCCTGGTCTGCAGTTGCATCGGAAGCAGAATCCAGGAGCTTCCAGGAAGCAGATGGGTATTATCTCCTCTGTCCAACCCACCTCCCTGGTGGAAGTCCCAGCCCTGCCTCTGACTTGCTGTGTGACCTTGGGCAACTCTCTTTCCCTCTCTGAACCTCAGGTGCTTAGTTGTCTAGTGCAGACAATGAATATCTGTCCCACTGGTCCCATACAAATGGGTGACTGGATGAGAAAGGATTCCACAAAGAATGGAACACATCCCAAGTGAGGGGAATGCTGGTGGTGAGTCTCTGAGGCCCTGGCTGGGATCCTGGCCCTGCCAGATTTTCAGACTCTGCCAGGCGGAGGCACACAGAGTAAGAGGGAGAAAGCTAATCAGAAAGTACAACATGAAACACAGCAAAGTCCATCAGACTCACCCAAGACCAGCTTACTTATAGCTGTAAAAACATTCTGTCTGAACAGTTAGTTCTACCTATGGAATATTAGGGCTTCTTAACCCTCACAGAAGATCAACTTTACTCTTTAAAGTGACAGCTTGGAAATGAGAAAAGGAAGCTTAGCTTATTAAGGTTTCCAATCTCACCCCCTCCACCACCACCAAAAAAATTCGTGCATGGGTGCTCTGCCTGTGTGTCTAGTTGTGGCTCTGAATGTCCCCAGGCCAGAGTCACATTTTTCTGTTGGTACCGTTGCTTTGGGGGCAAGGAGAAATTGAGTGCCTCGTTCCCCAAGTGGTGGGGGAAACCTCAAATCTCACCAACCAGCTGGGCCGAAGGAGGGCTCAGTGGGAGAGAGGTGACCTTATCAGCGTGTGCTTTTACAGCCCAAAGCTGGGATGCAAAGCTGGATGCTCCTGCTTTGGGATGGCCCGTGGTCACCAAGGTGGCCCAGGAAGGCGGCCCTTGCCTGCTTTCACCCCGCTCCTCAGCCCCTCACTGTCCCTTGTCACTTCTCACCCTCTTCTGAGTGCTTGCTGTTGGTCTTCCCGAAGTACCCACTAGTTGTGTGGGCAGTTGTGGAGGGGGCCAGGATGCAGGGGCAGCCCAGAGACTGAGTGGACCCAGTCCTTGGAAATGACCTTGAAGACTTCCCCCTGGGGAGCCCGAGTATTGCAGCATCTGCTGCCCCTGCAACTGAAGACAAGCTCCTGACCTTAAGGTGTTGTCCAGCCTCACTAAGCCACCCTGCTCCTCTCACTCAGGGCTCCAGCCCCATCAGCTTTCAGTTCCTTAAAACCAAAGGCTCTGAACTCTCTCCAGCCTCAGGGCCTCTGTACAAGCTGTCCTCCCCCTCCAGGCATCTGGGTAAGCGTCACTTGCTCAGAGTGCTTTTCCTGACCCCCATCTCAATCTGAATTAACTCGCACGATGGCATTTATCACAGTTTGCAAGTGTTACATTTATTTGTGTATTTGTTTGGTATCTACAAGCTCCCTGAGGGCAGGGACGGTATCCCCAGCAACAATCGAAAGTCTGGCACAAAACAGTGCATTTCTCCTGAAGAAACAAAGAGGGAAAGCCACCCAGACACCGCAGAGGAGTGTCGAAAGGGGAGAAGCGTAGGGGCAGCGCCTGAGGGAGTGTCAGAAGGAAGGGACGGTGACGAGAGGCTTCCTGGAGGGTTTGAAGCCCAAAGGGGAACAGAGCTTTGGTCTTGGGTTTGGAGTTTGCTTCTAGAACATTCCCTTTCCCCCAAGATCCCATCCTTGGGATCAGCTTGACCCATTTTGTGCTAAGAATAGAATGGGGCGAGAAGGTCCTCAGCTCATTCAAAGGCCGAGTCTTGGCTGGAAGTTGGGCTGGTAAAGGTGCCCGAGGGGGCTGGCAGTTGCTTCAGGGTTGTGGGGCCCGGGGCGGCTTCCTGGCGAGGGGCACCTGGGGGGCACGAGCTGATGTGTGTCCCTTCCCCAATGTCAGGATGGGGTTCTGCTGGGAGCCGTTGGCGCCTATGACTGGAACGGAGCTGTGCTCAAGGAGACCAGCGGCGGGAAGGTCATTCCTCTCCGTGAGTCCTACCTGAAGGAGTTCCCTGAGGAGCTCAAGAACCACGGCGCGTACCTAGGTAAGAGCCAGAGCTGAGGGATGGCTGGCAGGCTCCAGGGCTTGGGTGGCTGAGGCCCAGCAAGCGGGCTGGTGCAGTCTGGCCCCAGTGTGCCAAAGCCGGGGCCTACACTGGGTCCCCAGGGCAGGAAAAGATTTGAATCTGCCAAGAAGGGCCAGACAAAGAGGGGAGCTGTGGGAAGTGCCAGGCGGGTCAGGACACTGAAGCAGATCTGTGTGCTGGAGCGGAGGGGAGGGGCAGCTGGGGGCAGGCGGCAGTGGGACGCCTCGGATGCCAGGTTCTGCGGGCTGAGCTGCTTCATGTGGGCGGTAGGGAGATAGTGATGTATCTGTATGAAGTGCCTGCAGGAGCAGCAGGCTGAAGGTTCTTCCCATCCCCCCGGGCCCAGCAGAGGCTTCCTGGTCCTCCCAGGAGGCCCTGGTGGGATGCAGCCAGGCTCCGGCCCTGGGTGGAGTCCTGCGGGAGGCCCTCCCCCTGCTCCTCCCCCTTGGGATCACCAGTGAGGGCAGTGTCTGGGGTCCCTGGAAGGTTCCTCCCGATGCTCCCCGAGGGAGAGGGGAGTTTGGAGCAAGGAGACTGGGAGGTCAGGCTCACCGCCCCCACGCTGAGGCAGCTGATGGACTTCTGGCCACGGGACCTCTGGTCAGGCTGTCAGGGCGGCTGTCCAGCTTTCAGGGTGGCCCCGCCTGCTGGTCAGAGAGCCACATGGGAACTGAAACCACAGCCAGCAGACAGCTGGGAAGCAGGAAGCTCTCAGCACCGCTTGGAGCTGTGAGAGTCGGCCCACGCCTGCCCCCAGGACCCTCCCACAACCACCGTCTCTCCTTCTGAGGAAGCCCGGGGCCCAGGGCCAGTTGAGAACATTTTCAGAAGTGCCACTGAGGGCTCGACTCAGAAGAAAGCTTTCCTCCACACCACAAGGCTAACCCCGCCCCACCCTCACATATCTATTTTTTTAAATTTCTTCTCAGGACTTGTTTTTTTGAAGTCTAGTCGGTTTACAATGTTGTGTTAGTTTCTGGTGTACAGCATAGTGATTCAGTTACATACATAGAGATTCTTTTCCTATTTTTTCCATTATAGGTCATTACAACATATTGGATGTAGTTCCCTGTGCTGTACAGCAGGACCTTGTTGTTTATCTTATATATGGTAGTTAGTGTCTGCAAATCCCGAACTCCCACTTTATCCTCCCCGTCCCCTTTCTCCCTGGTAACCGTGAGTGAACTCATTTGCAGCACTCAGACAGACTGGCAGACATAGAAAACAAATTTACGGTTACCTCATACACTTACGGTTGCGCAGGACACGGCCATGGTAGCCCCCACCCCCGCCCCACAATGTGACATCCTGGTCTTACCTCCCTTTCAAGCCCCATTTCCCAGAGCACACTTCCAAGAGTCAAAGACATTGTGTCTGGGGCCAGAGTAGCCCGCCCTACTGCGCCCACACTCCGTGCCACGGAATCAGCTCTTCTGTGCACCCTGCAGCTACTCTGGAAGCAACTGGCAGGGCCCAAGAGACAGTGTCACCCACATACACACAGGCACGCACACATGGCAGGAGACACCCGTTCCCCAGAAACCACCCAGGAACTGCCAACACAGCCTGACCCCATCTAAAAACTGGGATCCAGTTTCCAAATTGTGTGGCAGAAAGTGGGTCTCTCAGCTTTGCACACCTGCCGGGGCCCTGCTTTCAGGAAGGCTGCCTGAAGATACTGCAGTCACTTCCTAGAGCCGGGTGGGTGGCTTGAAATTCACAGTGATCAGGCGCAGATCTTGAGAACACAGGTTGGTGGCCTTTCCCAAAGAGCCCCTGGGTTTCCACGCCTTTCTCTTTCGAGAGCTGTTTGTGTGGACTGAGAAAAGCCTGGGCGCTCCCTGCTCTGAGTCTGCAAAGCTCTGGGACTACAGGAATCCCTGAGACCCTTGCCCCTGCACAGTCAGCACCTCAGTTTTCAGGGGACCGCTTGGCAGGGGTTCTGGGGATGAGAGGACACTGACTGGTCCCCAGGGAGACAGTTTGTGGGGATCAAAATCAAAGCCTGCCCGATGTAAGAAGGGTGGCTGGGGCCTCCTCCTCCTCCTCTCTCCTGTGCTCACCTGTGAGGTGGGTGAGGCGGGTGATGTGTAGGTTCCAGGTCAGCCGTGCCTCACAGTGGCCCACCTGGCTTCCTTGCAGGGGGTGGCGCAGGGAGTTCTCCCCACCCTCCACCGCCCCCTCCCAAGCCAGGCTTCGTCCAGGCCTCCAGGCCTCCAGGCCTCCCCGGCTGAGCTCAAGTATCACTGCCCAGCTTTGCCGCATCTGCTGGGCCTGCTCTGAACGCACCCCCTTCGCCAGCCACCCTCCGCGCAGCTGAGCCGCACACCAGGCCTGGCGAGGTCAGCCAAGGCCACGGGGCCAGAGACCAGCCTGTTTCCCCCTGTGGCAGGGTACACGGTCACGTCGGTCGTGTCCTCCGGGCAGGGGCGGGTGTACGTGGCCGGAGCCCCCCGGTTCAACCACACAGGCAAAGCCATCCTGTTCACCATGCACAACAACCGGAGTCTCACCATCCACCAGGCCCTGCGGGGCGAGCAGGTAATGCAGGGGAGGCTGGGGGTGGGCAGAGGTGGGGGGCCGACGGGAAAGGCTGGCTAGAGGGGACTGAGGCTCAGCTCCTCCCTCTCAGGACTGTCCGCAGACCCATAAACACCCTTGCTGATTGGGGGTTGTCTACCTCCTTCACACCGCCTGAGAGCTGGTGTCCACTCCCCAGAAAGCCAGGCCCTGGTCCTGCTGCAGCAAGGAGAACCCAGAACCGCTTGTCCCCTGCGCCGTGGGGCCTTTGTCTCCATGCATTCGCCCGAATGCTACCTCTGAAGCAGGAAAAACGGATGTGGGCTGTGAGAAGGGCCATGTCCCAGGCTTGGGTTGAGCCCCTGGGACGTGCCCCGCCAAGTGTGGGTCCTTGGCTTTGCACAGGAAAAAATTCAAGAGCGAGCCACAGTTGAGTAAAGGTAGATTTATTCAGAGACATACATTGAAGGGCAAGAGAAAGGCCACGAGGTGTGGGGGTTGGGTGCTACATTAAAAGTAGGTACACACCCCATAGACAGAAT